GGTTAGCGGTCATCAACGAGTTTGAGAGGTGTTGTCTTCGGGGTAGAACCGGCAACAGAGAAATCAAACGACACGCGAAACAGCCTGGACGCAGACTCAGCACATATGGCCAAATAGCCGTCGATGTACTATTTGATACCTTTGAGGTCCCGACTTCCAAAGTAGACACAATACGAAAACCACCACCCGTCCACAAGAGCCTCAGAAAAAACACAACCACTGAAAAAAATGCATCGTGGATCCATGGAGGGAGATGGTAGGAAGAGCTTAACGGACAGTTAGCAGGCAGCTAGCATACAGGTAGCGAGCGTGCTTACGGCAGGCTGTCGATCGGCGTACACGCGTCGAACGCATACTGGCAGTCAATCAATCAATAAGTTAAAATTTAAGCTGCAGCCAGTCACTGAGTTACAAGCCAATCGTGTCGCTACCCACGCCAAGACAGAAGTTGATTGGCCCGATGGACATAGTTTTACACGCGTTTGTACCAACTACGCTCTAAGATTTCTGCTTTTGCGCTCTTCTTGTCCTCTTCTTCCTTAGGGGCTCACACAATACGCAATTAGGCGGTGATATCTCGGTTTTGGCTACCGTTACAACAGGAATAATATGAGGTTAACTTTTCAAAAGCGGCGACTGTTACGGAGATGGGCACCGCAATGCGTTCGCGGCCTATGGTGAAAAGGTCACGAGACAACAGACGCCACATCGGGCCATGCCAGCTGAGTCATGCGCTCGGGCAACCAGACACCCGAGCAGCGAGCACAGAATAAATTGGTTTATTATTCTGAACTTTCGAAGTCCTGTAGGATTCTATCATCTGAGATAGCAGCTGCGACAATCCACTTAAGGAGCCCTGATACAAGCACAGAGGTGTCTGTGCAGGGCTCTTTATATTAGCGCCAAGTCGACAGACAGATTAATGAAGTTCCAGCCCGAAGACTAGGCTTCCATCCGTTCTCGGCTCGCCTTGCTTCCGGTGTGGGCGAGTAGCATGACGCGACCGCTCATGGAAATCACTCTCGAGACCCAAGCAACCCCACAACGGCTACCAGTATAAGCAAATGAAGAAGATCATCAAAGACCAGGTAGGGACTGGAATGGCAATTTTGCCAATAGAAATGTGTATGCGAGTTCCAGGAAGCAGTTCAGAAGAAGAAGATGCGACCACTGGAACAAGGGTTTTATTTTCCTGACGTTTTGGATTCCGTAGGGAATCCTTAATCATAAGTAATGGCAGGGTACTCGGAGCCATGCGCAGATAACGGTGAAACGAAGAACCTGATACGCCACATCGACCACGCGACGCTCTCTCCAAGGTCGAACATAAGGCACATAAAGAACTCAGAGCCGACGATGATCTCGTTATCGTGCCGGCGAACAAGGGGCAGTCCACTGCCGTATTGAACAGGACGGACTACATTCACAAAGCTCAAACTCTGTTAGACGATCGTCAGTCCTACGCCCCATGCAAATCCAACCCCC